GTAATTCAGGTATCCTGTTTTTGAATACAGTGGTCTGAGATGTAAACGCAATGGTTGCATTAACTGTGTTAGAGGGGGCTGGTGAAAATATGGCTTACAACAATCAGTATACAGCCCACGCTGCATGGTTACATTATAAGTATGCCATTAGTGCACTTAACGCATACAGTAGTTTTATAATTTACATAGCTTCACATGTTGTATGTAACATTTTCAAAGTACATGCGAAGGAAGGATCCCATCTTGAACAGCATAATGGTTCAGGATACTGAAAAACAAGAGGGCGCAGTCAGCATCAGAGACAGAAATAACGATTCAGTGGCAAGTTAGACTGCATCTATGAGAAAAAAGGAAAGTTTTGAAGGGAGGTTTGTGGGAGGACAGCAAAATTTCCTGCAAGCAGTGTAACGGCATGAGAATATCATGGCATTGGGACAGAGTGGAACGGAAGACCACAGAGATGACAGAATTTGGTAGAACTGAGCTGTAAAGATGAGGGGAGGGGAGACAATGAGAACTTGCATTTCTGTAAATACAGACAAGAACTTGCACAAACATATGCACCCACACCCACCATGACGATACAACAACATAAAGGCATGTAATTTTTTAGATGACAAATGTAAAGCTGTCTGGACTAGTGTCAGACAGAAGACGATTCCTTCATTTTTTATTCTACTAGGATATTTAATTCGCAAACAGTACTTACTGGGAAGGTTATGGGTGATACAGGCTGGAATTCACTGAAGAGCGGCAACAGCCTCAGTTATCCCCTTCCCCTGAGAAGCAGGAGCAAGATAAGGAATCAATAAATTCAACTGTGGCATCAAAGGTAGCAGTCAGACTTGACTTGATTTAATTTGACTAATGATGATTTACTGGTTTCCAGCTGTGTGATATTGAAATGACAGCTATAGGATGAGCATTTAATTAAAACTCAGTGTAAATGCTAATAATAAAAGTAGGGATGGCTAGAGAGAAGTGTTTAGAGGGAGTGCATATCAATATTAAATGGAGCTATCTGGCATTATAATAAAATAATGCACGTCAGTAACTTTAGTTCTTGACAGCGCTGAATTCTTTACAAATAGATCTACACTAATTGCCATAAACAACTAGGAACTCCTCCCAAGAAACCATAAAATGAATATTAATGATCACAGATCAAGGCTCACAATTTACATATATCCACAGCATTAATCAATTATAGAAATTAATCTATATAATATAGTATAATAAAAATAAAATGTAATATATAGTTGAAAATGAGAGACATCTTGACATATCAAGCACTCTTTCTGGAAATTTGTAATACCAGAATATTAACATTTTTTCATGTTTGAATCTAAACTTCCCTTGAGGTTAGTAAGTGCTAGAGCTAGAAAAGGATTTCATAATTGGGTTCCTGTTAAGTCTGCTTATGAAAAATAGTAATCTTTCATGCAAAAAGAGCTTGATTTTTCTCCTTGTAAAGGTTCATTAAGCTTCTGATAACGAGGTCTTTTTGTTTACAGTTACAATCTTGTCGGGACAAGAACGAGCCAATGCATGGCAGACGGGAAGTGGAGCGGAAGTCTGCCGCAATGTCAACGTATGTGTTTAAATACTGAAGAACTACACTAGCCGTATTCTTATTACAGAAAGACTGCTTTACATTGCTCAGAAATACGTTTACTCAAAGGCCCTCCTAAAGTGTGGTGCAAAAAAGGTTAGGAAAAATGAAGCAGCAGCATATATGTTTAGATTTAGATCTGTGGATTGTTTCTAGAGAAACACAGTGTAACGGTCTGTCCAATATGCCAGGATCAGGGATGCTGTTTATAGCTGAAGGTAAGATGCTTACCCACTCAGCTGCATTTTCCCTGTGTGTAAAAAGAGGATACTGGCATATCTTAGCAATTTTTGTGTATGTTTTTGCTATAATCTGCCCTGCATAAACTCCTTACTAAAAGAGCAGTATGCTGCTTTTGTATGTTGTCTGAAAAATATCGCAAAACCCATGAATTACATACTCTAAGGCCTCTGAGACTTTTAACCAGATTTTTTTTAAATTTTGATAGCTACACTTGTGTAAGGTGCTATGCGGGTTAACCTGCTTATAAGCATGTTGCTCTACGTGATATTCCAACATGAAAGAGTAACAATTCCACATTTAAGATGTGATTTTAGCCATGTTGTGCTTTTCCAGCTGTGACCTGTGCACCTCCCTCACTTTCTGAATTTGGAGTCCTTTCGTACCGTCATCTAAAACCTGGAAATGTTTTTGCTTTTCTGGACACAATTACTTTTGAATGTGTACCACCTCTTGCACTTATTGGAAATGAAACAGCGACCTGCATGGCCAATGGAAACTGGAGTGGCATTCCAGAATGCAAGTGTAAGTAACTTATTTTATCAACATTTAAATATTCCCTAGAAATGTATATGTAAAATCATGTGAAAGATTTTACTAAAAAAAGCTGACACAAATATCAAATTATTATTGCAAATGTACAGTAGAATTATTCTGAAAGTCCGAATCATAAATGAAAAGTGATTGCTAACAATGTCTGCATGATTGCATGCAAGATGATGTGACAAAATATTTGCTGCAGGGATAAAGGTTATGCAAACAAGACCAGTTAAACTTAATTCACAGTGTGGAATCAGAACCTGACCTCTACAGTGCACTGAACATTTTATTCTACTAACTGTTAGGGTCAAGCCAAGAATTAGAGACCCTTATCCTAAGTCCAGAGAACTTCACTAGCTTCAGTGAAACTATGCCACATTTAAATAATTTTTGTGTATAGCCACAGATTGCAATTCAAAACAAGTAATATTTATTTATGCTATTTTTTTAAACGTTGCTTCCTCTGGCTATGTTTTCCTGTGCCAGAGGCTGCAATGAACGAGAATGGAAGTTTTATGTGTTTTTTCAAAGCATATCATGTGTCTTTTTAAAACTGCAAAATTGATAAAGCTTTGTTTTTGTACCACAGCTGTCACATGTCCCACGCCAACAGGAATAGAAAATGGATTCATAAATTTTGCTGTTCGTAGAATATATCATTATAATGAAAGTGTCAGCTATGGCTGCCAGCCCAGCTATGTGCTGGAGGGACCTAAGGAATCCCGATGTGAAAAGACAGGAAACTGGTCCATAAAGCCAACTTGTAAAGGTACACATATACAATTTGTTAGAAGCCATGTATGAAATTGACTTTTCCTAAAACACTGACTTTCTGGTTGTAGGGCTGTTACACCTTTGTGGAAATGTTGACCATCTCAAAAGAAAACTGAAAGCTTAAACATTGTAATCTCAAAGCTGATGATAAGGACTCCCACCACCGAACACTGTATACATGATACATCTGAACTGACATCAGTAACCAGCCACCTAATTTTATTATGTCTGAATATTCCCTTTCTTCTCCATTGTTAATTTAATGGTTTAATTTAATATAATTATAAAATTGACTGAGGTTGGATCTTCACCAGACACTTTTGATACTATACTAATGTTACTTTAGGGGTGTGAATTTCTTCACCACTTTCATACCAGCAGGAGTACTAGGCGCAAACAATGACAAACCATTGTAAAAATGCTTTGGCCTGTATAGCTTATTTTGCCTGGGAAGCAGGTATAATTTGTATTAACGCATGTGATGCCCGTTGCTTTACTAATATAGCAAGTTCACAAGTTGCCTAGGCACTGTTAGATAGTTAAGACTCTGCATACTGAAAGTCCCTTTACTGAATATTTGTGCGACGGATCAGTTTTCATCTCCAAATGTCACTTGTGCAGATTTCTGATAGGCTGTAGTCTATCCAGTTTTCAAAACGGAGCTCTAACTATCCAGAAGTGTTGCTTATCACTAAACTGTTTTACAGGACCATGTAAGATACCAGCTAAGAAAGCTGTAGTGTTATACAATGGTGAGAAGAAGAGAGTTCAGAGTGACCTTAAGGAAGGAATACAGCATGGTGAAACTATTTCCTTCTACTGCAAGAATAAAGAAAAATCCTGTGCCTACACTGTAGCTGCTCAGTGTGTGGATGGCAATCTTACTCTCCCTTCGTGTTTCAAAGGTATGAACTAGGTTAATTTCAAAACAGCTTCCTGTCGAGTGTGAAGGGCAAGGCCATCACTCAACTTGCCCAAACAAAAGACCATATTGAAAGCGTTCCAGGTTTTCATGAATCCTTGGATCAGCTTCTTCTATGAGGGAAAAAAGAAGGTTGCAGCCTTGAGAACCAGACACATTGCATTTACGTTCCGGTGACATATTCCCATGTTATGCTGACTGATAACAAACTGGTTCTGACTTTGGACTAACAGTGTCAAAAAGCAATGGATGGCTTTAGTGAGGGATGGTTGCTGAAGGCGGTGGTCTGCAGGCACGCAGGCTTTTAAATAAAAATACCTTAAACAAGTATTTCTATTTAAAAAAACAGAATAAATATAGAAGTTTGTTTGTAAGAGGAAATGTTTTGCACTTTTTTTTATCAAGTTTCCTTGCACAGAATGTTCCTCTTTTAATTTTACTTTCATTTGTAAGTGAAGGAAAAAAAAATACAGACTATCCATGGTGAAAACATCCAGCTTCATATTTTGCTTGGAATCTGATGGATGTAGCTTTCCTTACAACAGAAATTAAAATAGTATATTTCTTCCGGCTCTTTTGCAATGGTGTGAAAATTCACTTCTAACATAGCATGGTCCAAGTGATACATTGTCTTCAGCTGTCATATATTTTAAAAACGTAACCCAAGTTCTTAACTTCTTGTTTTCAATAGAGCGTGGATTCTTTTCATCTCTCGTGAAGAAGGACCCATCAGACATGACACCATGTGAAGACTGAACATGAATCAAAAAAGTAATACAGTACTAAATGTTTGCCTTACTGAGACAAAACATTACATATGCAAAGGGACTTCTTTGGTCTGGTGACAGTAAATTTCCACACAAATTCAGGTATCTCTGAGGACACAGTCTCAGCTGATTTCCCTACCATGACTCTTACCAATCTCTTTCATGAGCTCTGACAAATTACTTCAGCTGCTAACTTTCCTCTCATTCTCTTTTCTCTGCCTTCTCCAGAAAACCTGCAGTCCTACTTCTCTTCCCATATTTCCAACATTCATGTAACTGTAAATGATTGTCTCAACAGCAACCCCTTTACAATAAAGAACATTTCAGCCAAGAATAATGTGTTATTATTTAATATCACCTAGTAGTCAGTCAAATCCTTTAGCTCTTAACTGATTTATATAGTGAAGTCCTCACCAGTCGTAACTAGCTTGGTTCTCACTCCGTTACCTCTCCCCAGTGATTAGGGAGTGGGCCTTTCATTATAATTATAGACAGACACGGGACGATCAACCTACAATTTTCCAGAATTTACTTGAGTAGAAAGACTGAGATTTCTAAATGAATTTAGAAGAAGCTGAGTACTGAACCATCATTTAAATGTAATAAAATCACATATGTTTTCATGATTCCAGGTTCACATGAAACTAGACTTATTTAGTTCTAGCAAGTTAATTTTTAACACTGTTTAAATATTACACAATGTCTCTAATTACTTTTTGAAGAACGAGAACTGTACACCATTGAGCAACAATAATGATTTCAGGCCATTAAGTAGTTTTGAAGTAAACTGTATTTTAACTTGAGTTTATAATACAGGTAGACCATTGGTATGATCCACTCTAGCAATTTTTATGGTCATTTCTGTATTTCCATATGGAAAAAATGAGTGCAATTTCAATATACTAGAAAGTGATAGCAGAATACTTCTGGCACATATATAATGAATTGTGATGAGTCATAAGTGGTTTCCTTTGAAGTTTAGAAGCCTTATCTGTGATTGAAAGCAAAAGTAAACTACACTGTAGGCAAACTAATCTACAGCTTTTAAAAAGGCCCATTTAGCAATAATACTCAGAGAAAACCAGACTTGTAAGATGTTACAGCCACCATTAAAAATCTTTGAACATACAGACTCGTATTAGCTTTTATTTTTCAACGTTGCACATGAATATTTTAACAGGATTGCGGAAATCACTCCTTCTCATACTTCCTATTTTTAAGGAGATATTGAGGCAGCTATTATAATGCGTGTAATACTTTGTACTTAGCAGCTGTATAATTTTCTAATATACAGAGAGACAGACAAATTTACAGTAGTGACAGAAAAGGAATTTTCGTTGCTACGATTTGCATTGTGTTTTGCTTCCTAACACATTTAAACAGGATCCTTGAATGACTTTTGACTTACAGGCCAAAACATCCATAACCACCTTTAACACATACATACATCACCTGGCAGGATTTCCTGTTTGGAAATACAGTCTAAATGTTATGTGGATAAATCTTTGGGATCTGGATGTTCAGGACTTTAGCAGTGATACTAAATACAGTTAATATTAACTTCTCTTTCAAAGTAAAACAGTGAAGTTGCAGTAAATTAAGTTGGCATTCACTGCCACACAAGTGCTACTTTTACCTGAAATGATTTGTGTCAATGCGTATCAATTAATGTGTTTGTATCAAATGATTGCACAAAAACAGTTGCTCCTGGGAACAATCTGATTTTTCTAAGCAATGCTAGCAAGTTTTAAGTTTTCCCAATTCTACTTACTTATATAGTAGGATAACGACTAGTCACATCTGCTGGCCCTGCTTCCTAGCTGGGTATGCAGTATTTGAATACTTGAAAGAATCGCCCTTAGGATTCAATGTTCATACGCTGCATTTATTATCCAGTCTCCTCGAGCAAGAAGGGGGGGGGGAAATTGTGACTTGAGAAGTCTTTGAAGTAGTGAAGTGTTGGTGAATCACAACTTTTCAGACATGAAAGGTTTGCTTAGAAGGTCTGAAAAATAATGTATTGCAACTAGAGGTGCTCCAAAGGCTGGTATGAGTGAGAGAAACCTGTCAGTTTCTTGTAGACAACTGAAGGAATGCCTTAAGCTGTGCTTATGTTACTTGCGGCAACCTGCTGTGACAGTTACAGAGATAAGAGAGCATGGTAAAATGAGATGAAAAAAAAAAACCCCATTGAATGTGTTATACTTAAATGAACACATTTTTACAATTCAAATTGGGAATTTGTTCTGTGTTCTGTTTGGGCTATTCATGAATTCTACGATTGTATATCTAGAATGATTTCCTCGGGAGGGTCAGTCCACATCGATGCTCACCAACCTGTCCAGGCTGTAGCTTTGGCTGGAGACAAGACCCCACTCACTGCCGGAACCCTCAGTTTCTCTTTCTTTTTGGACAGAAGTTATGCAATTGTCAAATCAATGCAGGTATTCTTCAGCTTCCCTGGTCACTCTGCTCTAAACTGGCAAGCAGACCTAGAACCCAGGCAATCCTCAAATACGTATCAATGAATAAAAATGTACAAAAAGTTGGCTTAGGATTTCCAACTGTATCCAACTGTCAGAAAAACAGGTTTGCATTGAGGAACAGAAATGCGAACTTCACCATATTACGCTGCTAATACGCTTACATTTCGCCCTTAAAAAACTTACTTGGAAAAAGTCAGGTTGTTATTAGGGCCGTTCAGCCTTGCGTATTGTACAGAACCCACCAACAAAAATTCAAAGTTTTGCTTGTGTCCTGTGATTGGACCGACTTGGACAAATCAATTTCACGGTTATAAAATTTCCATGACAAATCTGGGTATCTGAGGTGGTGATGTAGGGATGAAAAGTTCAGCAGTTTCAGTTATTTGAGCAAGTCAGATAGCCAGTGCTCTTGCTGTGTCGTGAGAAACTCTGCTCTTTTAAAACAAACTAAAAGTGGTCAAATCTTCAAAAAGACACGAAATGCCAATTATTTTAAATTTGGAATTGAAAGATGATAAAAAGCTTTGTAACCTACTCATGGAATTCGGCCATGGATAAAATACTCCATCTCAGTAGCTTTTGCAGGGCTTCTACGCAAACGCCGACTTAAGGAGTGACAGGCAATTTATGCCGGCAACCGCTGTAGCCGTCCTAGCGGTCACCGAACGAGTCTCAATCCAGAATCACTCTTGCTGAAGATTAGCTGAGGTATCAAAGAAAACCACCAATTTTTGACGGCACTTTTTAGAAGTTCTTGTTTGACGTGTGAGCGCACGTGAACCAAGCTTGGGCATATCGAAGAGTTTAGTCATCCGAGACAAAAGCACTTTAGATGCCAAACACACAGCAAGGCCAACGGCGGATTTTGAGGGAAGAGAAGTAACGGAGTCAAAGAGGTCGGAAGGTTCCTCCGGGATCACAAATATGCAGAGTTATCGCACTGACTCGAGGAGAGACCCAGCTGCTGAAAGGACTGGCAGATTTCTGCGCTTCCTTTGGATCAACGGGTGGTTTTCTTGAAACGCCTACCAAACAGAAAGCATAATCTTTATTTTTCCTTCACAGAGGTCAGACACGCGCCGTACAGCCCCTCACGCTCCCTGCCCTAGGCATAGCTTCCCACCCGGCCAGTGAAAGATGAGCATTGCCGAGCACCTTAAATTTATCTAAGGTGAACCCGAAAAGCCGTCCGCTATCCGCGGGGACACACCCGCACCCGTTTTACTTGGACCACTGCCGAAACTGCGGCCAAGATCGGCTCTGAACTGGGGCCGCCTGCACCCGCGCTTCCAGCCTGCAGCTCCAGCACTGCTCTGCCACCCCCGAGGCTACTACTGCTCTCGCCGACCCTCCGTTTGAGGGTCAAACAGGCAAATTGGTGTGGCTACGTTTGGCCCGGGGAGGGCGGCGGGGGCCGGGC